ATCTTTAATAGTTTCAATGTGTAGTTACAGTTCTTTACAGGGGCACATGAATCTTTAATAGTTTCAATGTGTAGTTACAGTTCTTTACAGTGGCACATGAATCTTTAATGGTTTAATACAGGCACTACAACACACGTTTTTTCTGTAAATTTGTTCCCTCCATTCATCACTGAAACGTTCAGGCTTCCAGGTCACGTGAACATGTTCACAGGTAAAGTGTGTAATCAAATCAAAACGAGGTCAGTCACAAATGTCTTAACAAGTTACGTGTTATGTGTGGTAACATCTTGCAATTGTTTTTCAAGAATAACATGACACATATGTCGACAACCTGAAATGTAAATACGAGGATGATATAAAATAGACTTTTACTCACCCATCAATGTCCCACCCGATATCTTCTAACAGTCCTGCTTTGTAACCCGTTACCAAGTAAAATTTATTTGGACTGATCGATTGCAACGTCTACACAAATACTCTTTCAATCAGCATCAACCGATTTTGAGGTTTCTCGTCAGTTGAAGGTTAAAGGAATTAACAGTCACGTCAAAATTGTGCAATAAAAAAAAATGTGTTCTTCAAAAAAAAATAGCTGGTTATAGAAAACAAAACAAAAACAAAACAAAAAAGCATTACTTTCGAATCGGTCGTTGTGACAGGAAAATGGGAAGCGTTTGTCATTTGCATTGCATGAATGCGTACCTAAATATAGATTGTTTGACTTTGCATCACAACCTGTAGAACAGGTTTTACACTGAGCAGGATTAGGGGTGTGGAAGTATTTATTTACACCGCTATTAACTCAAACAATCTTTGGGAGGTTTAGGTAGGGTAGATCTAGAAGGTTCATCCGACAAAACGCAACAAATCTGTGCAGCATTTCAAACATCAGACAGATTACAGGATACAAGGAAATTCCTCACACAGTTGTAAGGTAAACAGCTATTCTATTGATAGTTTGACATCGCCGATGTTGTATAGCTAGTGTATTACAGGTTTTATTTCTTTATTTACGTTTCTATAACGAAAGTCATAGCCGCGCGTTTCTCGCCATCACAACATTATTGCATATACGCAACTTGAAAATCTTAATATATTGTGTTTGTATCATTATGCTGAACGAACCATGTCACTACAACTTCCCTATTCCCCTTAACTCTTATGCAATATCTCTTCTAAAGAAGATGATAACAGATTTGTAGCGGAACTAGACTGGGTCGATCGTCGTCGTCTAGAGCTCGGAGGGTCCCGAGTTCGAACCCTGGTCTGGCGTTGACATTTTCTTTTTCTTCTGATACAAAATTGGTGACTTTGTCAACCCTTGTATTATGCATTGGGAGAACGCTGTGCAATGGGATACCTGAATTTGGGTTGTAAATAGTTGTTTCTGCGAGGGCGAAGACTTGGAAAAAAGGAGGAAAGATGTAGCGAAAGTGGACTTGGTCGATCGTTTGCGACCAGGTCTCTCAATTGGTAAAGCGTTCCTGATATATATGAAAATGATCTCCAATCATAAAATCGTTTACGACACGTAATTGCTTCCATTTTATTGTAATTTTGTTAGCTCCCTTGTTTTTGTCCACGGCACGTTGGGATCGATACCCCAATGGGTAATATGTGGGCCACCTGCCCGACTACTGGTGTTACTCCGGCACGATTACAATAGGGAGTTGCATAAAAGATGTCGTTCATATTTGTGAAATAGATAGTTTCGTGTGAAAACGTATTTATCCTAAGATATATGATAACACCTCAGTACGTCCACTACAGAGACGATTTCTGTTTAATGTTACACGGAGTATAGGAGCTTCAGCACATTCTATGATCATTATCAATGTAACGTGATACTTTTAACATGCTGGCACACGCGGTACCGCGACGGTCTACTGACCTCAAGGTCGTAAGTGTGGAAGAATATGATTATGGCGTTGGTGATCAAATCCCCCTGTTTTGGTTTGAGTAAAGTTTTACGGAGAATGGCTTCTTCTGTAATACCTTGATTGTATTAAGCATACACTATCTTACAATTAGAATTAGGTTGGACGCTATAAAATGTAACATATCTATTATTATTGCATTATATCCATTAACGGTTCCAAATCCATACTGGATTTATGTAGTACATGCTGTCCTTCATATTCAGGCGACAATAAAATATGATTATCGTGTATCATGTTCTTTAACCTGGGATATTTCAGATGGCAACTGAAGAAGATGAGAGAAAATTAAACAAACTTCTCCAAATCAATGGATTGAAGGAAAGTCTCGATAATCTACAAAACCTCGCTAGCGACCAACGTTCCGAAAAAGCAGGTATACGTAGCCATATAGCCAAACTAAAGCAACGCCTCTGTGAAGCTATCAAAGATCCAGAAAAGATTTTTGCTGCTATCGCAGGAGTTCTTGGGTTGATGGGCCAACTTATGCCATTAGGTCTCCCATTTACCTTCGCCTCCGCGGGGATCAAAGGACTTCTGATGTTGTTTACGTTTCTCTCCAAAAAGTCATCCAAAATGAAGGTAATTGAACAGCAGACTTATCTTGACGCCGACACTCAGAAAAAAGTATTTGCTGTGCATAGTGCTTTATCTTCCTCTCTTCACTATCTCAAGAGCATACATCAACGTAAACTCAACGCCCATGAAATCGATATAGTGCTAGGTCAGGTACCGCGAGATACGGGTACCGAGTTCCTTGGAGTGCTTGAATACAAAATAAAGGAACTTCAAAATGGAAAAACAACCAAGCAGACAGGGAAGAAGGAAAAGAAAGAGACAGAGGAAAAAGAAGAGGATACGTTACAAAGGTGCAATGCTATCATCGCCCTCATTGATCTGTATTGTGTCCTGTCCTGTTTGAGAGAGTTTGTTATGTACTACCTTGTAACATTACTCGCCAACAACAGAGTTCCCGAGAATATAACAGAAAGTTATCTTGAGAGACGAGAACATTTCAAAAACAACAGAGAAGCCATTTTGAAAGTTCTTCATGAACCTGAAGCGAAAGATGCAAGTGTTTCTGCCGTGTTCAATCTTAAAACATGGCCAAAGCTCAGTCAGCAACTCGAATCGCGCCCCGACTTAAGTGATTTGATAGATCGTCCTTGGAATGTTGTGTCTGCCTCTAACGACAGGTTTGCGATGTTTCGGTGTTCTCCTAATACTAGAAAGCTGTTCACACTGAAAAGATACGTTCGCGTCAAAACGTTCGTGGAAAATACTGAAACGAAATTTTTGATGAAATCTGAGGGTAATCGAGATTTCACAATACATCTCTGTGAACATGATGACTTTACGTGGAAGATGAGTGGAGATCTCTTAGAAGCTTCTGGAACGACCCAAGCAGAACAACGTGTCAAATTCAACATCGTACGGCTATCCAATGGAAATGTCATGTTTTCATCAAAGAATCGACCAACTTGCTTTGTCAAAATGGAAAATGCAAAAGATGACGCGCGACTGAGTGTAGCCAACAATTCATTTGACGAGACTTGCCAGTGGAAACTCCAAGTCGCCATTATTTGAAATTTAAAAGTGGTGTAAGGGTGTATAAATGTGTCAATAATCTTGTACCTGAACACCTATCTACACAGTTCAATTATTATAATGACACTCGTACAAGATCAGCTTCCCAAAACTTCATACAAGTACTAAAACATCGTACTTCCTTTTATCCAAAACAGTGGGTGGTGGAAGGGAACCACATCTGGAACTGCTAAACAGTAGAAACACGACGTGCATCCTCCCTTCCTTAATTTAAACAAAATATGATTGGAAGCATTAGGAAAACAGTTTGAGTCTTTTTTATTTCTATCAAAAAAAACCTCTTAATATAGCTTTTTATGGTTTTAGTTACGCTATATTAGCGTGTATGATGTCCATTTTTAGTTTTAACTACATTAGCATATATGTAATTTAGACATTTGGTCTTTTACTGAATACCATATTGGCTCAGCTTAGAATAGTGTATCTTTGCTTCTGTGATTATTTTAATAAAAATTGTAAATGACCCTTAAATTTTATATATAAATTTAGTCTAATTCTAGTAGTTTAATAAGCTCATCTACTTTTATGTATATGCTTACTGTGATGATAATTTGAATGCTCATTTATTTTCTATTACATCAGGATTTTAACTAACCCTTTTACTTACAGAGGACCCTGTGGAAGATTAACTTTGCTAAACAGGTTTTATATCCTCAATAAATAAAGTTCAATGTA